TCTATGAAATGTAATATGTAATATTCAACTTTTTTCGAATCGATGTTAAATTAACTGATATTCCATAATAATGGGCAACGGTGTACATATTTGTATCCGCAGCTCGTTGGTCGGATATTTCTTTTAAATAAATTATATTTTCCATGTATTGTTATGACTATAGTATGACTCAAATGTCTGTTAGTCTTGCGGTTTTGAACGTGATGATCATGGTTGTAAACGGTGGATAGTTCCCCATTGTTCCAAAAATCCACATGTATACTTTTCTACACCTAGATATAATGCATTTATTCAATTACATATAACCACATCCTATTCATGATCAATCAGGTGAGAAGACTGGAAAATACCCTAAGTAAAACAGTGAAACGCATAATAACAAAACTCTGAATGTGACGGACAAACAGTTCAATAAATTAAGATGTTTGAGACTTGAGAATACTCTAAGGAAATAGCGAAACAAGTAATTACTATGCTATACTAATCAGATTAATAATCATGCTCTGAATGTGAAGGACAAACGGATCAAACAGGTGTTTGTGAGGAGACTGGAGAATACCCTGAGGAAAAGAACGAAACGAGTAATAACTTTGCTCTAAATAGGACATACAAACAGATCAATTAGGTGTTTGTGAGGAATCTGGAAAATGCCCAGAGGAAAAGAGCGAAATGAGTAACAACCATGCTCTAAATAAGACGGACAAACAGATCAATCGGGTATTTGTGGGGAGACTCGAGAATACCTAGAGGGGGAAAGCGCGAAACGAGTAAAAACTATGCTCTGAATAGCATGAACAAACAGATCAATCGGGTGTTTTGTTAGGAGACTGGAGAACGCCATAAAGAAAAGAGCGAAAAGAGTAATAACTATGCTCTAGAAAGGACGGACAAACATGTTAATCATATGTTTGTTAGGAGACGGGAGGATACCTTGGGGAAACCAGTCATAATATAACCTGCAAGGAAATAGATTCCGGATGGAGTGGTAGATCAAAGCAAATTGATACAAATATACATATATATTATAAACTAATACTTCGAATGAAATAATTAGTCGTTCCAATGTATCTGTTGACTGAAAGGCTTTCGCTGTCTTATTCTAAAGTCCTTAATCCACACTTCATGCGATTTTTCCCAATTTGAAGTTTACACAATTACTAACGTTTGTTATATTCTAATCATAACGTTTGAACAAAATCAGTATTTCCTATAAAAATTTGTCAAGCACTTTGTTCTGTGTACTTCTTGCTATTTGATATTTATTGGGACATCACGTCCTTGCCGTTTTAAGCCCAATGAACACATAGGGATATCGCGCTTAACAGATGGGATTGATGAGATTTCAACAGGTAATTGTTTGGCAACGAAACTGCAAATGTCATTCACGTTTAATTCCAGTCTCAAAATTGGAATGTGTATTTGAGAGGGTTATGGATCCATCATGGAAGTTCGGAAGTTCCTAGTCGTAATATCACTATGATGTTTTTCTCCCAAATTCCATCGACTTTTACCAATATATTTCTTAACTCCTCTCTGATAATTCCACCCAACAGAAAGGTTGATATTTACAATTTTTGCTCGACGCAATAAAAAAAATATTTACAAGCCATTTTCATGATCAGTAATAATCTTTTTATCTTTTTAATGTCACCATCAGAAGTGGTGACATATGATTATAATAGTCTCTTGCTTCTTTGTGGACGATGTTCGTCAGTCGGCGTTCGGCATCCGACGTCTTGAACAAATTCTTACAACTTCCAATAACTTCAGGGAATGGCATGCCGAAGAGAAAGACCATCGAGTACCATAAACACACCAAGAGCACAAATAGTTATCAGGAAAGCAAACCATTAATATTTTGAACTAACACAGAAAGAAACAATATTTAACAATTGGTGAATATCTTCTTAGTTGTTTCCTAAAAGTTCTTTAAACGATGTTTGCTCAAATGTGCCTTGTATCGTTTTCCATCTTCTGCTACTTTTACGGTTGCCGAAGCTTCTAGGATTATGCTTCGCATTTATCCTATCGTATGAAAGTGTCTCGATCACCAAGTAAAAATACCAAGGACCTTTAACTTGCCTACTGTCCTTTTGAAGCCAATGTAAACTGGTTGTGATAAGTTGAAGGGGTGACACGTGGGTTTTAACTACTCTTTATGATCATGATGGGGTTCTTCGTGATGGCTTGGATTCCTTCAAACCGTTGTCAGATAAGTTGAAAGGGTCGCACATGGATTTGGACTCCTCTTAATATACATGCATGCGTATACATTTTGCTTTTTCGTGATGGCTTGAATTCCCTCAAACCTTTGTCAGATAAGTTGAAGGGATCGTACATGGGTTTGAAACTACTCTTGATGTTCATGCGACTTCTTCGTGGTGGTTTGAATTCCTTCAAACCTTTGTCAGATAAGTTAAAGGGGTCGCAAATGGGTTTTGGACTGCGCTTCATGTTCTTGCATATGCATATATATTGGGCTTCTTCGTGGCTTGAATTCCCTCAAACCTTTGTCAGATAAGGTGAAAGGGGTCGCACATGGATTTGGACTGCTCTTCATGTTCATGCATGTGTATACATTTTGCTTTTTCGTGATGGCTTGAATTCCCTCAAACCTTTGTCAGATTAGTTGAAGGGATCGCACATGGGTTTGGAACTACTTTTGATGTGCATGCGACTTCTTCGTGATGGCTTGAATTCCTTCACACTTTTGTCAGATAAGTTGATCGAAGGGGTCGCTCATTGGTTTGGACTCCTCTTAATATACATGCATGTGTATATATTTTGCTTTTTCGTGATGGCTTGAATTCCCTCAAACCTTTTTCAGATAAGTTGAAGGGATCGCACATGGGTTTGGAACTACTTTTAAATTTGATGTTCATGCGACTTCTTCGTGATTGCTTGAATTCCTTCACACTTTTGTCAGATAAGTTGAAGGGGGTCGCTCATCGGTTTGGACTCCTCTGAATATACATGCATATGCATACATTGGGCTCTTTCGTGATGGCTTGAATTTCTTCAAACCTTTGTCGGATAAGTTGAAGGGATAGTACGTGCGTTTGAAACTACTCTTGATGTTCATGCTACTTCGTCGTGATGGTTTGAATTCCTTCAAACCTTTGTCAGATAAGTGAAAGGGGTCGCGATGCTCTTCATGTTCTTGCATATGCATATATATTGGGCCTTCGTGGCTTGAATCTCATCAAACCTTTGTCAGATAAGTTGAAAGGGTCGCACATGGATTTGGACTCCTCTTAATGTACATACATGTGCATACATTGGGCTGCTTCGTGGCTTGAATTTCTTCAAACCTTTGTCAGATAAGTTGAAGGGGTCGTACTCATAATCTACATGCATGTACCTATAACTATTAGCCTTCTTTGCGACGAGTTGGACTCCATTTTTTTCAGTTCGGGTCGTACGGAAATAAATGTACGTAAATGAAGTCAAACTAATGCAAATGACGTACACAATGTACTAATTCTGATAGAGGAAATTGCGAAAGAAAACTAATTATTTTGATCAACATTCTAACTGTAGCTAGAAGAACTGGAGATACATGTCTTCGAAGGCCCTATAGGCCTTATATCATCGTGCGGAAATTGCAGAATATATACGACAACCGCGCGTGAGTAAATAGCTTCTATCTCCCAGTCGCATCTTCAGAATCCGAATACAAATATTTACGTTGCGTTGCGAAGCCATACGTTTGCGTTTTGTGGATGCGACAAAACAGAAGGCACTGTTATTCTAGGCTATTTCATTATACATCCATTCGTAAGTTGATTTTGATTATGTTACGGTACCGTCGGTGAAACTTTTTACTTTATACACGATAAACCTGGAAATCGTGTGCTAGTCTTACTAGTCTACTAGCCTGCATGCCACCCGTATCGTGGTCCCCGGTAGACAAACTATCAGAACAAAATGCTGAATCAACTGGCGATTAAATTGTGTATCATATCAAATCCCGATATTTGTATGGGATTTTGCCTTTTTACTTTCCTTTTTAGTTTTGTTTACTTTCGACTTAACGAGATTGTTTTTCATTTCTCTTGATAAACCACTTTAAAAGTTTCGACATACCACCACCCCGGGATATATAGCCAAGGGGGCCTCTTCAAAAACAAGTGCTTCGAGATTGTAAAGACCGTCATATGTCAATCAAGTTCCGAGTGACCGCAAACATCAAGAATAGTCTAAAATTCTTTTCACTGACATTCACTATTTCAGCTCGACACTTGGAATTCTTTTATATTTAGCAACCTTTAGTTTGATCTCATTTATAGATATGAGGCTATAATAAAATCGAATGTACTTGATCACTAGAAAACTGACAAAGATATGAACAGTGCTAATTGAGAGTACATGTTGCCTCTCATATTTTCGACAAAAAGGAGTCTAACATATGTTAACCATATGTGATCGATGGGCGATGTGTAAACACGGTATTTTCAATCATATTTTAATGAAAGTTTGACAGTAGGGCAATATGAGACAACGGAGTACTTTTGCGTGATACATCCAGTGAACCCTTTTAGAAATTAGGACCTCATTCACATATTATCATTACCGACATCAGTATTATCATTACATTAATAGTATCATTCTCATCAACGCAATCTGAAGCATAGAATTGGTTTTGAGTATTGTGTCATGGGTCATATGGTTTACTGGGGTTTGTGTTTTAGATCAACGTTTCCCCCAATGTGCATGCTTTCCAAGGTATGTATTTTTGGAAAACCAAACTGGTGAATGAGTATAGGATTTCCCTCCCTTGGGCTCTTTTATTATATCAGAGAGCTTTTAGTTATTAATTTCACAATTAACACAAAGGAATAGTTGTGTTTTTGCCAGGTTTATTGCGACTTTTCTGTCCTGCAGTGTATCAACGCTGATTGCGGAAATCTCATGCTCTAATATGACCAAAAATTACAATACATAATTAGTGCATAACTAGCCTGAGAATTTAGTTTTTTCAATTGCCTCAGGCAATATCACAGTTCTCTCCACTACAACGAGTGAACCCCTTTCATAAAAAATACTACTGATAATGTCAATACGCTGTCACTGGAGTACCAATAAAAGGGGTATACCAAGCACGATAGCTCTGCTGACTAGTTCGACTCTACACAGTAAACATCTCTAATTCATTTACACGGCAAAGAATAAAGGACTTAGGATGTAGCCTTGTCACAAACCCACTGCTATCTCAATTATTAGCCATGTTTTGGATAATTAACATCACATCTATGGTGTTTTAAGAGACACGGAGCTTTAAGAAGTAGATTCTGCTGTGTAAGGAACCGCATTGCGTCTAGAACAGTTCTTCTAAAAGGATAGGATTTATTTATCAAAGGCCATGGACGTCGACGTTTTGGGAATCATCCTAGTGACGCTTTTCTCAATCGTGGAATGTAAGTTTGTATGACTTGTTTAGAAATTAATTGAATAACTTTAGATTTTATTGAAATTTTATTGGGTCTCATTGATCCAGGATTCTATAAAAACACACAAACATAAACACTACGATGATCAATAATTTTGGAAGGATGGCAGTATATAGGGTCATTTATTCTTGTGGATACCGTCGTTTTGGCGTTCGAAATTGTAATGTAATTATCACTTACGTCATCATCTCCCTGTAATTGAATTTCACGATTATTTCAAATACCCAAAAATTAATGCCTTCTGCAAGGGGATATATCCATTGTTCGCTCGTTTGTTCTTTGTGAACCAGGCACCATGCTCTCAATATGACATTATCATACATATTTCAAAATAAATATGCTAAAACAAACACTTAAATACGTATAATACATATATTATTAATGGTCGATTTCAATTTTTTAGAGTAGTCAGTAGTCATCAACAATACATTCAAAGGTATAAACATTTGTTCATTTAGTTTTCATTTTCTCGAGAAATCAAGTGCCTGTGATTTTTTAGTCAGACTGCACTTATATTTATAAGAGGTTTTGAGTTTCATACAGTATAAACCATACATTTGAATATCGGAAACCCCTCTGAAATACCTACACTATATTAGCAGATTCTATTAAGTAAAAAAACACATCCTTTCACTATTAAAAGGCCAATAGAACGCAATTGAGTAAAGTATTGAGATCCTCTATATCACGCGCCATGCAATTCAATTTCATCGAATGCCAAAATTGCACTTGTTGCTACCATAAGCTTTTGTATTAAATCAAATATTTCTCATATTAACGAGCCGGTAATACTAAATATTTCAACAATTAAATATACTCCTAAGTTTAACTTAAACAGTGCTAAATACTCGATTGGAACACTCAGCATACTTCCTATTGTACATTTGTACATACAACGGCATATACTTGTTTGAAGTACCTGGGACTTTGTAAAGTTTGGCTTTGTTAATCTGATTAAAGAGGAAAACACTACTAAATAGTATACATAATCCACTAAACTGTTAGTAAAATACATGGCTGTATAAGTTACTAATCCAGTATACAATGAATATCTATCATGTTATTATACCATCAGAATGAGGAAGTGCTGTAGACCTATTACGTACATACATCTTGTCACTGGTATTTCCAAAAATGCTAGAGGGCTAAGTTAAATATAAAACACAATTCAACACAATTTAATTTACACATATATGAGGCTTACGTAGATACTTAACAAATGACGTGCATTAATACAAAGTTTAAAGTAATAAATTATTTTTAGCTACATTGGACATTAATTATCATCAATACTAAAATTCAATATTTATTAAGCGTATAAACTGATGGCCAATGCACTTTAGATAATAATCCTATTAGATTCCTATTAATATCCTATTTATTTCTAATTAATATTCATAAACATAAATGTATATATTACATAGTATGTTAAAATTTTCAAATATGTTCATATCTTTCTTAAAAGGCATCATTACATGATAAAGGGTGGGATATATGTATTTATCCTATTCTTGCGAGGGTATAGATCGTATATCACGTGAAGATATATTTGATATGGGGATCAAAAAGTCCCTAACCATCGAATATCACTTCTTAAAAGTGATATTCAATGGTTTCAAAAGTGATATTTGATGGGTTTAAAAGTGATATTCGATGACTGCGCTCACTCGTGAAGATAGCAATATCCTCCCATTGGATATAAATGATAATATTCAAAACCATAGGATAATTCTATAAGTTTATGAATGATTTGTCACTAGTTTATAAATGTTGGGGGGGGGGGGGGTATTTGACACTGTTTCTCCGTGCTTTACTTCATTGTTTTTCTTATGACTAATTCAGTTCAGTGTTAGTTTTCTTGGAGTTTTATAAATTTGATCATCCTCTCACATGGCAGCTGTGCTTACATATTTAAGGTAATAGTAGTACTGTATATTGGCCTGAATGTGCTCGATTATGAACTTGATATTTTTCCATTATGGTGTTATTAGTTGAAGAAGTGTTTATATATCTCAATATGTATATATGTAGTTCGTAATCGCACCAGGACAATATCAAAGGTTATCATGCTAAGTAACCAGAAACATATCTTGGGTAAACTAATATAGGTGTCCACAAATCTTTACATTGCATGGCCAACTGAGGACAGGGCTTAGTTTCAAAACATTATGATGCAGTATGGATAATATCAATAGAAATGTGAATTCTTAGTTGTCCAGAATCTGTAAAACGAGGGTCGATGTCGTCATAGAATGATTAACGTAAATACATGCCCTGAAAAGGATAAACCGAAGAGTGCATAATCAGAAAGGGGCATCCAACAGGTCATGATTCATTTTAAAAAGGTACTAGATAGTATCTTGCCCTTAGCCAGTTTTTACCAAGAGGGGGGGGGGGGTTGCCAAGATGGGAGCTTTTTAACACTTCAGTTTGGCTTCTAAAAATCCATGCGAAATGTGCTCAGAATGTCGAAAACTGCATGATATTGGAAGTACTTCTGGCTTTCTGGCTTCAGCTCCCCCTGACTACGGGCCTGAATATATGTCAATGAATGATATCACAAAAGATCGAATAGTGCGAAGACTACGAAAGTGATGCTGATCTCATCTTTCTGCTCTTTCAATTAGAAATATATTTAGACCGTGGTTTCTCATGATGAAATAAGACCATCATGAGAAACCATGGCCATCTCAGTTCCATTAGCTTCACTTTAGTATGACATTTCTAGTTGAAGACAGAAAGATGTGCTGAGTATCAAAATGAAATAAGACAGGTTTTCGGAAAGTTGCTCTCTAGATCTGATACTATCTTTAATATCCGATCTGTACTCTATTTAAAATCAATATTACTAGTAAAGTACAAGTTTACAAATAAAAAAAGATTGAGCACCCTATCATTATGTCTAACCCCAAGGATACTATTAATTCATCGTTGATATTTTATTAAATATCAATTGAATCACGATGAAGTTTATAATTAGTGGCTCAATGAGTTCATTTATCTTTGACGTTTAAAAAGAACAAAATCATGACAAAAATCCCTTTTTACGTATATCAAAACTGAAATTTTGTAATTTAGTCTGATTTAGTGTCGTATTACACTCCCCTCCAAAAGCTTAGAAAACCTGGCTTTAACACGTTCTGCTAATGCCTGTTTGTGCCCGGTGATTTGAAAAAGCCATCCAATTTGTCATAAATTACCGACCGAATGCAACTGGGGGAAGCAATTCAGATTCAAGGATAACCAGGCCTTAGCATGCTACCAAATGGGGAGGAAGGTTTTGGAGAGGGTGTATGTTGCTCGGGGACTGTAAAGTGCATGGTTGTAAATTGCAAGTAGATTATGGTATGGTTCTTGTATCTATTAAGGGCTCTTCAGTCACAGCCATATATACTCCACGTCATGTACTAAGTATCATTTTCAAGAATAAAAATGTAACTCAACATTTTAATGTATCTATCAATGTAATATATATTTATAGAGTTATGTCGTACACGGTACTGTCCCAACGACGTTGCTATGTTCTACATGTGGTACACGGTTGTACTAGGTGTTGGTACAATGACACCCTTTTTGCTATGCCATTCTTGTTGATTTTATTTGATTTTACAATGTCCTTGTCGTTGGTATTCCTTAGCTTTTGTAGAATTTGTACAGAATGTTCTTGTGAATCATCGTGATAGGCCACGCTTTCTCCATCTCTGTCCAGATCTGCTCTTTGCAGTGAGAGAGGTGCTATGGACACCAGAATGTTGCAGAATATGAACAGGAATATGCTTTTTCGTCAGTATTCATAGGTTATGACGTTTAGTATATGGTGTTAACGAAATGTTTATTCTATTGTATGTAGTCTATTGGGATTTGGGATTTGTACATTTCGACTAGTATATCATTTTGATGACATCAAAGATTCAATAAAATATATTTTATTCAGTTTTTCAAAAATTCAACGGAAAGGCATTTTCTCTTGGAGGTATTTTTGGTTTATAATGCGTATGGGGTTTATAAAGGGTGTTCATAAATTTATTGCAAATAGTATGCTTATTATGGTTTTGTATGTTGCCGGTTGTGCATTTTAATCATGCAGGATGTCCAACAACCTTTTAACATTTTTGAAGTGTTTTGCTGAAAGAAATATAGTACTATGTCTTATGTATGGCTGTCAAATCTACCCACTGTGTATCCCACTTTACTTAGCTCATGAATTGGGCTTTTCTTACCCCACCCTCCATGCCTGGTGTGCACTGTGTATGGATTCATAAAATCAATGTTTTTAAGGACTTGATTGACTCTGATAACGCTAATGAATCTATTGTATTTGAAAATCTAAGGAATTTTGAGTACCACTTTTAATTTGTTTTGAATAAAAGATTTAGTATTTTTTGTTGAAACAGTTGGTCTTTTCAAAGTTGTACCATATGATGGTTGTTGATTCTTAAGTGCTGCATTTCGATAAACCTTTTTGTGGGATATGATTTTTTGTGATTTTCCAGGAGGTCCATCGGCCAAATTGCAGTCCCTGGGTTTTAGTTCATTGATTCCTGAACCATATAACCAAAGGTCCATCATTACCTGTAAATTTTCAAAGAAGGTACCTAAAAAGTAAAAAATGCGTACCTATTCATCTTAGTGGGTTTTTTATGACACGAAATCGTCATGTGTAATTAGGAGTCATGTCCCTGGTACAAATTATCATGATCTGTATGATAAATGGTGCAAGATGGAGAGAGGAGATACACATACGAGTCCAGTCTTTACAACCTTAGTTCCGTTTGCTTTATGAGGTAACATAATATCAACGATTTTCAATAGAAATCGCCTCTAGGATAAGGCGGATTCAGAGGCGGTTACTTCTTCGGTGGTTTATGTCCAAAGATGCTGTCATTTCTGTATGTTTATTGCTTCGCTTTATTAACAGGTTAGAATTGAAAGTAAATAATTTGTTTCTGCATTTTGAACAGCTTTTT